ATTAAATTTGAGATGAGTTTATCCCACGTTTGATTGAAATAAAATCGCGGTATAACTAATTTCACGCTAGATTAGGTATTCCGGGATTGTAGTGTTATTTTTATTCCTATGAGACGGTGAGATAATAATCCCGAAATAATTAATCCTAAAATAACTGATTTTCAACAAAATAATCTTTTAAATTTTGAATTCGCCTTTGTTCATGTCAACATCTGAAATTATTTACTATCATTAGGCTTACTATTATTAAATAAGCATCTTATTTTTAGTAATATTTTTCATTTCAAAGCTTCTTTCAATAGAAGTTGAGTACCACATGAGTCATGATACAATGAAAAAGTTTGTTTAGAAAGTAGTCTTGTTGGTCTTAAATTGACTTCTCATGGTTTGTTGGAAAAAAAAGACTTAGAGCCCGTTTGGATTAGCTCATTGCAAATAGCTGATAAGCTTGTAGTGCTGAAAAGTTTTTTTAAATGCTGAAACTGATTTTTAAAATAAGCATTTACGTGTTTGGATAGAAGTGCTGAAACTGATAATAAGCAGTTGATGTGTTTGATTAAAAAATGCTAATAAGCTATTCTTTTGTTAAAATGACTAAAATACCCTTGAATCTTTTTCAAAAGATTATAAATTAAAAATTTCTTTGTAAAGAAAAGAATTAATAACGAATATGGAATGAAGAGAAAGTTAAGAAATTTATTTTGGGAAAAGTATTTTGTGAATTAAAAAATATTATTAAGGATAAACTAGTAAAAGTGTTGGTCAAACTAAAAGTGCTTATAAGTTGAAAAGCCATAAGTTGGGGGTAACCGGCTTATGACTTATGGCTGATTTTAGCTTATAAGCACTTGACTTATAAGCACTTTGAGTATTTACCAAACGCGTAGATAAGCCAGTTTGACCAGCTTATAAGCCAGTTTGACTAGCTTATAATCTTAGCCAAACACCCTCTTACTCCTACATGCCTTTACATCAAATCTAAAGTAGTTTACCGTAACTACTTATTGAAATGAGGTAAAAAAGTTTACAATTACCTAACAATTTAGGTAAAAAAATTAATGTTTTATTTTTATTTTTAAATTTTAATGTATGTATCGGATTAGTGCGGATAATGGTCCTTTTCGTTGCTAGCTAATCACATTAGAACACATGACATGCAAAATAGCCTTATATATATCAAGTCACTTTAAGTTGGCCCTTAAGCCAGATTTTGCAACTTTAAACCTGTGACCATTGAACATATCTTATAATTTGTCACTGTTTATTTGTTGAAAAAAAAAAATTTTATAAAAATAAATTTTTTTCTAGAAGTTAGGTGGTTGAAAATGACAGCTCTATAGTTTTGGAGTTTTTGATATGCTAACAGTGACAAACGGACGGGTCGGGTCAGATATAGGACGAGTCAGATATAGGACGAATCAAAAATGGGTAATAAAAAATGAATAAATTATTCGACCCGGAGAAATCATATTCTCTCAAACTCGAGCAACTCCTAATTTGAGGTTTTACAAATATAAAAGTTAAACTCATTGGTTAAACATTTTTTAAATGGATAATATGATTTTTATTCATATTTCATGCATTTTTAAAAAATTTATTATCCAAATCAGTGGTTAACTATTTTTTTTTACTGTTTTGCCACCCCTAGTCAGTATCATGTGTTATTAATTATTTACTCGTAGACCAATTTCTTCTTTCACTAGAAAAAACACCTTATCTATTATTTGGTCCCAAGATTTTTAATAGAGTACATCTTTTTGACTAAATGATTACAATTTGTTTTTCTACTTTTGGTTCTTAGAATTCTGTGATCTTGAATGGAAAACGACATAACAACAACAACCACTAATTTATGTTTTCTTGATCAGAAAAAGGACTTCAGTGACACCAGTGTTAGGATTTTGACATGATTTTCTATTTATATTTGCATTTTACCTATTCTTGAAGTAAGGGAAAATAGTTTACCTTAATTAATTTTACTTTTCCTAAAAGAAAAATATAGACGCACTTCTATAAATTGAGAATTTCTTCTTCGCACAATAACACAATACAATATCTACAATGTAGTTGTTAAAGAGTCTTGTTTAGGTAGAAAATTTATTCTCTCGATAAGTTCTATTTTATTTTATTACTAGATCGATGTAGGTCAATTGACCGACCGTATTAAAATAAATTATGCCTCTTTTAGTAAATGTCTTTTTGCCGTTTAATTTATCGTTATCAAGGTTTGCTTTGTTAGCTTCCGCATGATGCCTTGTTATTTTCGACCAAACAACCAACTTGCTTTTCTTTGTTTTGAGATCTTCAGATATGAACAGTAGCTAGTCTACAACATCCAATAATGATAAGAAAATCAAGTACTAGTTGATAATGAATCTAAGTAGTAACATTTCTTTTGTTTAGCTGTTTTACTTTCAAATGATCCATTCATTTAAAGGGAAATCTTGATCTTCACTTGTAGATTTATTGTACATATTATTTATCTTAAACTTGGACATAATCTGTGAGTGATTGATATTACATTCAACAAATTTACATCCATTTGATTCAAGGAAGTTAACAAAAAAACCACATAATACAGTCAGACATTTCTATAACAGTATTCATATATAACAGTCATTCACTATAAAAGCTAAGTTTTTCTCGGAACTAATTCTTATGCTGTGTTATACTATATAGTGCGGACTCTCCAAAATGATGTCGTACCCGTGTCGGATCCTCCAAAACTACACTATTTTTGGAGGATCTGACACGCACCCGATAACATTTTCGGAGAGTCCGAGCAACATAGATGTTAAAATATATATCCTCTATAACAATACTTCATTATAGCAGCCAAAAAGTATCGAAACAAATAAGACTGTTATAGAGAAATTTGTCTGTACAAGCTAAAAAAGCTGAACTGAGGTGTCCTTTTCTTGTCATAGGTTGGTGAAGATTCTAAAAATCAAGTATGGGATGACATTGGATATCAAGTAGACAATGAAGAGAAACATTCAGAAACAGCTGAGGAAAGACCTCTTGAGAAGGGAATTGTAGAGACAATTTATGAGACAGAATCAACTATTGTAAAGTCCCTTGTCCAAAAAGGCCTAAAAGTTATAGAAGACACCAAAAACAACATATACAAAGTTCAATGTGATGTTGTTATTGTTGGCTCAGGTTGTGGTGGAGGTGTTGCAGCAAGTGTTCTTGCAAGTTCTGGCAACAAAGTTATCGTCCTCGAAAAAGGAAACTACTACACCAAATCCGACTATTCGTCCCTTGAAGGACCTTCAATGAATCAAATGTATGAATCAGGAGGTATACTGTCAACTTTGAATGCGAAAATAATGATCATGGCTGGATCAACAGTTGGTGGTGGCTCCGCGATTAATTGGTCAGCCTGCCTTAAGACACCTGATTCTGTTATACAAGAATGGGGCGACGATAAAAGACTCCCAATATTCCAAAGCCCTGAGTATGTGTCAGTTATGGACAAAGTTTGTGAACGAATCGGTGTGACAGAAAATTGCACACAAGAAGGTCTTCAGAATCAAATTCTCCGAAAAGGGTGTGAAAATCTTGGTCTTGAAGTTGAAGGCGTGGCACGAAACTCATCCGAGAATCATTATTGTGGCTCGTGCTGCTACGGCTGTAGAAGAGGTGAGAAGAAAGGAACTGATACAACTTGGCTAGTGGATGCTGTAGAATGTGGAGCAGTTATTATAACAGGATGCAAAGCTGAGAGATTCATACTAGAAAAGAACAAGTATGGGAAAACAAGAGACAAGAAATGCTTAGGAGTGATTGCAACAAGTACAAATAAAGATATCACAAAGAGGATATGTATTGAGGCAAAAGTGACCATTTCAGCTTGTGGTTCTCTTTTGACACCTCCACTTATGATCTCCAGTGGTTTGAAAAATCCGAACATTGGCCGAAATCTCCATCTTCATCCAGTTATAATGGCATGGGGGTACTTTCCTGAGTCCAAGTCAAACTTCAAGGGAAAAATATATGAAGGAGGAATCATTACCTCAGTACACAAAGTCGAGAGTTATGACTCCAATGTAAGAGCTATTATAGAAGCTCCTGCTTTAGGACCAGGATCGTTCGCTGCCTTATGTCCTTGGACATCTGGAGAGGACTTGAAGAATAGGTTACTGAAATATTCAAGAACAGCGCATTTGTTTGCCATGGTTAAAGATGTAGGATCGGGGAAAGTGAGATCGGATGGAAGAATAAGCTATAAGTTCAATGCTATGGACAAAGAAAGTTTGAAGCAAGGGCTAAGACAAGCTTTAAGGATCTTGATAGCAGCAGGAGCTGATGAGGTAGGTACTCAACGTAGCGATGGACAGAGAATGAAATGTAAGGGAAAAAGTGAAAAAGAAATTGAGGCCTTTCTTGATACAGTCACAGCAGCTGAGGGACCAAAGTCACTTGTAAAGAATTTCACAACTTATAGTTCTGCTCATCAGATGGGAAGTTGCAGGATGGGAATGAGTAAAAAAGATGGCGCTGTCGATGAGAATGGGGAGAGTTGGGAAGCAAATGGCTTATTTGTTTGTGATGCTAGTGTTTTGCCTGGTGCTGTTGGTGTAAATCCAATGATCACTATTCAGTCCACTGCATATTGTCTATCCAAGAAAATAGCAGAGACGATAAAAGAAGGCAAATTCTCAAGATAAGTAGTCCTCTATTTCTCCTCTATATATATTCCACTTCAATACAAACTTGTGTGCCTTGTCTTCTTTGTAAGATCATATATTTGTAATTTGCATGTAAAACATTTTTCAGTTTTAACCAGTCAGATATGTAAAACTAGTGGATTCAAGAGGATCTCAATAAACAAAGTATTCGTGTTTTGTCCTTCGCGTCAGCTTCAACATTCTTAGGAAGTTTTTCCTACTTAATAACACAGAATGCAGTTGGCTTGTAGCAATAACTGAATCATCTGATATTGACATACAATCACAAAAATGTAGCAAAATCTAATGTGGTAGCAGAAACAAGAATTCAGGAAAATAGAGACTTTTGATATTTACTAAGAATAATAGATATCAGAGATACATTTCTGATCATATTAGAGTTAAGAATGAGAAAATATACAACTGACATGGAAATAACATTAGCTGATTGCGATTTTTCTTGGCAACACTTTGATCCCTAAGGCTCAATTCATTGTTAAATGATCAATAAATGATGGTGGATTCTCCACTCTCACCATAAGTGATCAAAAATTTATTCTAGCAATCAGAGTCTGTCTCGCGAAATGGCAATGGAACTGCTTTCACTGCTCTGAATTTTCCAACATTGTTCAAGTGCTCATTCTCCAACCTAAACAATCACAAATATACAGTAAGAACTATGAATTTCCTATAAACTATTTTGAACATAATGCTTATTTTAGAGACTTTACTATACCTGTAAAAGTTCCAGTGACCACGTCGAATAACTTCTAATGAGGCAAGGGAAAAGTCCAGTAAACGCGATTCAAATAATCCAACGTTGAAATGCATCACTGTCTCCACCCAAACTACTCTCAAGACCAAATTCAAAGCCTATGATTGAAATTTTAAAGCCTGTTCAGAGATACGATATCGTTGCATGGGGAAAAAAAGGTGTTAAAAGACAAAGGACTTACAATTGAAACATAGTAAATGCTCTTATTCTTGAGGATTAGCTCATCTCTAAGCAAAGGATTTTTGGATTTTAAGTTAAAAAATCCCCAGTCCTTAACAAAATCCCAATACAATTGATAAACTGTAGCTATAGCTGAAGTCACCAATACAATTGCCAACCATAACTGTGAATCAGGTTGCCTTGCATAGGTTAGCCTAGCACCAGCTGCTACCATTGCAGAAACATACTTTCCCAAGTTAGCCAAGTGATTTATGTCAGACTCGTCAAACCATCTCCTCGCACACTAGATAGATAACAAACACACTAGTTAGCTCACTCAGATAACAGTAAAAGTTCCAATGGTAGCCCAATATAATTACAGGTGGTAGCCCAAATATACAAAGATTATGTATATGACATGTATATATTATGTATAATATAAGTATATTTTTAGGGCAGCGTCAAAAATGTAATTATCCCAATGATTATTTAACAGTGATTTATAATCTAGAGTTAGCTATTTTACCTGCATTGCACGCCAATAATATGGGGCGAAAGATATAACATAAGCAAGCTCTCTGTACATTCGTCCGGACTTACAGGTTGGAAGTCCATGATTTGTTAAACTTCCAGCAAGAAAATAGCAAGCTGATGATTCCAAGTGCCTCATCAATGGGATCTAAAGACAGAAAAACAGATTATGTCTGAAAAGAAAACAAATTGAAGAAAATATTTGAAAAGCAAAGGTTAGTTACCTGGCTTGTTAGTTGATCAGCCATGAAAAAGTCTACCATTAATACCTATATCAATATCATTATATCAGAGAGATCAATATAGTCATCAAAAACGATTCGTAACACCAATTTTCTTGATTTTCAAGATCTTAAAATACCTTGTAAAATGGAGAGCAGACAATGTTACGTATGACTTTAAGGAAGTAGAAGCGCGTTGGACGATAGAAAATGTTCAATGGACATATCAGCAGAGCAAGAAAAATCTGAAAATGCAAAGGGAATTAGTTCAAAAGATTATGTTTTAACATTAGAAAGCATATGCATTAAGTCAAAAATGTTTAACAAGAGTTTATGTGACTAACCAGTAGGAGAATTCCAGGAATTGCATCAACTTGGCTAGGAGAAAATCCACTTGAAAGTAAGATTAAATGAATAACCAGAGCTCCAACAACAGCAGTCATTAAACAAGTTCCTATGAGGAATGCATCTCTGTATTTGAGAGCTGTTCTAGGTTGAAATTCAAATATAAAGTTGTAGTTGATTCTTGTGTTCTTCCACAGGAACAGATTGCAACCATACATGAACAAGTGCAAGCTTAGCAATGCAAACATGCTGCACACATTGCACAATACTCATCTTTAGCATTACAAATTTAACATGTTATAGCGCTGCTTTATTTTTCAGGTAACTAGTTCAACTTATGAAGGGAAGTTACACAAAGTTCAGGATGTTAACAATCTTGAGTAATTACTAGGGAAAGCTATTACAAATTGCATTACTCCTTTATGTTACCTTGACTATTCATTTAGTCCTTAAAATTCCATTTATCAAAACTTTGTAGCTAAACATTTATGCATTTCTACAAGATTTAGGTAGAAATGACACCACGTAGCCACCTAAAGGGCTGTTAGTTAGGAATTAACTAGTTCGTCCTGAATTTTTCTGGACAAAAATATCCTGAATTACAATTTTTAGTTCAAAATTTCAGGACAAAAGAAATACTCATTAATCTCTAAATACCATTCCTAAGAAAGATTGTTTGTGCACCTACCCCTAAATTTAGTGAATGGTCTACTTTTCAGCTCTTGAAAGAAAGGTCCGTAACTTTTAGTTTTCTTTTTCAAGATCATAGATACATTAAAAAAATGACATTCTACTCTTTTTCATACCGTCTTTTTATTGGATCTGACAACCGATAGTATATTTTAAAATATGGCAAGAATATTAATTAATGACAATAGCAAATAAAAATGGGAAAACTTACAGAGGAAAAAGACATCCATAAAGTCTGTGAAGAAGAGGGAAAAAACATGAGACTAATGTGAGAAAAAAGGGTACCTGAAAATAGGGTAAACAGTTTCAACATAACCAGCTTCAGTTCTAGGAGAGAACATGCCACTCAAATGAGCCAATATTGCGTATACACTAAATAGCGTCACAAAACAACCTGTGAAAAGTCCTGCAAATCCAGTAACATAACCAATAAATATATATACTGTCTGTAAATCTTTTTTGCACTATCAGTATAATTTAACATGTTACACGTAGTATTTTACACGTTCCGCGCACCTTTGTTTCTATGAAGATCTTACTGCAATATCAAAGTTATTTAGTTTATGAAAGGGCAGGCAACTCTGAAATGTAACAATGATACTATAGTTGAGATGCATTCCTCTTTTTTTTTTATTAAGAAAGTTTGTTATTTTTCCTAACATTTCCTTAATCATACTATATAAACATAATTTTGCGTCGTATTCTCTTTGCATCGGCTTGTAATTGGTGCTTACAAGGACGTGATAGTTTGAGCTAGGAGTATCAAATGAGCAAGTTAAAATGAGTTGAGTTAATAAATTGGATCACGGCGTAATTTGTCTAAAGTTTGTTTAGATAAAAATAGGTTGACGGGGTCATTGTTAAACCTCTCTAACTCCAAAACTTCGAAAAAAAATTCTTTGTTTATCGTTCTATTAGATCTCTAGTTATAATTTAACTACTAAAAATGATTTTTTTAAAAAACTAGTAATGTATCTAAAGTTGACTCAATCTTTTGAATGTATTTGTTTGGGGTACACATTCACCCCTAAATAAATACATTACTCACTCAATTCTCTGAGCCGAGTGTCTTTCGCCAACAATATTTTTACCTGCACGAGGTAGGAGAAAGGTCTGCATACAGACTATCCTCCCAGAACCTATTGTTGTTACTCATTCAATTCCCAATTTTGGTTAATATTGTCAAACTTTTGTCACTACCTTTT